GCAAAGCAAGTTGACATTACAACTGGAACTAAATATGAGATATTCTTGTACTCTTGGCTGGTGCTTAAGCAGCTACATTTCATTATCTCTTAATTTTATGGGTTATCAGAAACTAAAGAAATGTGTGTTGTGGCTGTTTCTCGCCTCAGAATTCAACGTACAGAGCAACAAGAAAATAACTTTTGGATACTTGGCTATAAAATTGTTATTAAAAAAAATAAAAATATAAAGCTCCAAAACTTGCCCATTTGGTATGTTGCTGCTTTGTTTTGCGGTGGGGTTGTTGTTGTTTGAGGGTTTTTGTTTTGGTTTGATTTTCTTATTTTTTTCGTGTTTTCTTTTTTGAATTTAACACCTACTTTCAAACTTCTACTCCCGGGGAGTGCAGAAAGCTGTGTAAGCTGTGAGGAAGGTGCTCAGAGGCTACTCCCAACATCGATCGAGCTCCCCTAGTGGCTGTTTCCTTCCCACCGTCCCTGCATGGACAGAAACACCTGGGTTGGGATTTTCCCCACTCATGACTAGAAGGAAGTGGCTGAAAAAGGATGCAGATCACAATCCAGGAATGAGAAAAAAAAAAGGGATACTCATTCCTATCTGGGGCTTTTGGTACAAGAAAATGTTGGGTTATTCAAAGAGAAATTAAAATATCTACAAAAGAAATGTAAGGGCTTCTCTATAAACCTGTAATCAGACATTACATATTGCACTGTTGAGGATATAAGGAAACCTGGGGGAAACTCTGCTTTAAAGTTTCCTTCAGGAGCAAATATGAAATAAAACATAGATAACAATGTCTTATGAATCATTTTGCCTACAGTAATTTTTGCATGTATGATGAAAGGCTGTTTTGACCATAGTCAAGCCAATGATTAGCATTAATCCACAAGCAGATGGATATGAAAATGGCAAAATCAACGCACATAGACAGAGTTATTCTGCAAAGCAAACATTTTCTGCCTCTCCATGCACACAAAATATTGTTTTCTTGTAGCAGGAGTACTCACAGACTAATACCAGTTTAAGGGCAAAGCAGAGCAGATACCAGGTTTTGGCTCTGTGGCTCCCTGAATTTTGCAGTCCAACCAAAATGGGTGGAAAACTGTGAGCTGATTTTTTCTTGTTGCTGCCAGGGTTTGGGGGTTTTTAGAAGGATATTCCAAGGAAGACTTGTTCTGCTTGTCATTGTAAAGGTATAGTTGCCAGCTAGACAGTAGTTCTGGACTGAAATTTCTAAGCTGATTTTCAAGATAGATATTGCAATACTACCAGGATAGGCAACAAGGGATGTGTATCAATTCCTTTAAATGAAATAGTTTAACATTGCCATGAAAGGGGGTGAGGTATATAAAAGAATCAAACAAAGCTTCAGATGAAAATCCTGCCTGAGTCTCCTTCCACTTATACCAGTTTTACTCAATCATAACCTCTGTTTTTGCTGAAGTTATTCATGATCTACTTCTCTGTCAGTGATTGCTTGGATCCCAAATATCTTGGCAAACACCAGAGGTGCAAAGAGGCTACAAGAATGAAGCTTTCATGCTCTAAAAATGGATAACTTAATAAAAAATGATATATTAAGCATGAGAAAAAAAGATGGCCATTAAGGATGATAAGTAATTAATATCCACACAGCATTTGCATCTCAAATTTTCTGAGGGAAACATCCTGTATTTTGGGATTCATCAACCAAAATATATTAGTGCAACTTCAAATGGCCAACAAGCAACCTCACTTGTGCAGTCTGAACCCTTCCCTGACTTTATGCAGAGCAAACAACCATCAGCAAATCCAAATTTCGTAAAAGAAGAAGATAAATAATAAGTGAGATTCTCAAAGAGCTTGGCCGGAGGCGGGGTGCACCCACTGCAGCCCAGGCCCCACAGGGATGGCCCAGGACAGTGCTGCCCCACAGCCCTGTCCATGGCCCCACAGTGGGGGGAAGCCTGGCAGCTGCCACGAGGTTTGGCAGAGCCACTGGAAGAGCCTGTGTGTCATCGAGGAGCTCTGGGCCATGGGGCTACAATGGGTGCTTGCAATAGGACTTGTGGGGTCGGCAGTGGATGCTCCCGGGACTGTGGTGTGTGCTGTGCCCTGAGGCACCAGGGGATGACCCAAGGGGCTCCCCATCGCTCTGCCAGAGCTTTGGGGGCTGACAGGGAACCTGGTGGCAGCTCCATGGGGGACCTGGCTCTACGGGTAGCAGTGTGGAGGGAGGGGGTCTGCATTCAGGGGCCTCCCCGTCACCCTGGAGCTGGGCAGCCCTGAGGGGCCCTGGGACCCCTGGGACAGCAGTGGCTGTGCTCTGTGGACCCTCCAAAGAAGCCGTCGGTGCCCGGCCGGGGGTGTTTGCTGTCTCTGAGGTGTGGGGTGGGCAGGGCAGGGCACGGATCTCCCCCTCGGCAGCCTGGGGCCGGGGCTGGGGCCGGCGGGGCAGGGTCAGGATCCCCGCGGAGGGAAACGCGCCCCGGCGCTGCTTTGAGCAGGGACTAGGGGGCTTGGGGGCTATTTTTTCCCCAGAAGCGGTGGCATTTAAATAATAATTAGAAAGGAAGAAGAGAAGCTTCAACGCGGGTAGGAGAGGCAGGGGGCATCCCGGAGGCCCGGCGGGGCGGGCGGGAGCGGCGGCCCGGTTCCCCCCAGTTCCCCCCAGTTTCCCCGGTGTCCCCCCTGGACCCCTCGGCTCCCCCCGCCCGGCTCCCGGCGGGGCCGCGGCCACCTCCAGCCTGCGCTGAGGCTGAGCAGAGCCTCCCCGCTCCCCCAGCTCTGCTTTCTTTCACATCTAATTTGATAGGAGGGGGATTTCGAGCTTCCCACAGTTACAACTTTTCTTGATTTCTCCCTTCCCCCCGCCCCGCGCATTTATTACTTGCATTTAATTAATTCCTTCTTTGCGTTTCCTTCCCTGCTAATCTTTGGGTGACTGCTTTGTACATATGGCAATCTGATAATGAGGGAGTTTATCCTTATTCTCTAGACTTCTTCACTGCGATGTCCACCCGTCTAGTGCCTGGGATATCGATCATCTTTCCTTGGGTAGGGGGACAAGGTAAGAGGGGTGATAAAAGATTTGCAGTATTCCACACCATTAAGAATAGCTTTTATTCCTTGGCGCTGTTTAATCAACTGTTATATCAAGTCATGCTGTTTAAGCAACCACATCAAAAGAACATACCCTCTTTTGTATAAATTATATATTCCTTGTATCTGTCTTCTCGCATGCACGCAGACGGCGAGATAAAACTTAAGTTTGTTTTTTTAATAGCATGAAGCAGGTATTTAGCTGTTATACAACTTGTTTCTGTAACTAAGTTGGTTGATAACAACCTAGAAGCCAAGCTGCTGACTTTCTAGCTTTTTACCCATTTCCAAGTCAAAACTCCTCAATTTAAAGCTCGGAAAGAGAAATCAATGATTCACTGAAACTCTACAAAGAAACATAAACAGCAGAAGAAAAGTATAAGCTAAAAAAGAGGGAAGAGCACCGGTTAGAGCCAGTGTGAGAGCTTCAGATTACTTTTTTCGGCTCTTTTCTAAAGTTTACCTAAAAAGACCACTGTCCCTTGAAAAGTCCATGCTGCCCTGCTTGTTACAGTTTACGGATGCATAACTTTTTTACCACTTAAAAACTAATTTTAAAGTGCATTTTCACATGGTTTAAGTTGATTACTCAGCTCGATGCCACAGACGGGAAAAATCCCATATGATTGTTAGCCCCAAAGAACTTTTTTTTTTTTTTAAATACCCACAACTTAAATAAAGTTGATTTTTGGATGTGTTTTGTTTTTCTGAGAGATAGGACTTTGAATTACTTCAGCATGCCGTTCTGGAATTTTTAAGAACCCCTAAAAAAACTCCTGAAAGTTTCTAGATCCTAGGACAAATTGTATTTTCTTAGGAGCAAAAGTAAATGAGTACTTTACAGGCAGAGAAGTGTTTGTTCATATGGGACTCTGCTGTTCTGTCTAACCTGCTCTATCAGCCCCATCTCTGCAATTTTGCCCGTCTCTCAACACCTTTGTCTGATTAGTAGCTTTTGGAGATCGGGATAAAGACACTTGCCACGCTGCGTGAGATAACAATTAATTTAACATTAAACTTATCCTCTTTCCATTCACTTTGCTTGGATCGATCCCTGATAATTGTGTTTGCGGATGCTTTCAGCACTATGCTTTTCTTAAAAACTTAATGACACCCCGCAAGGAGGTGTAAGAGTCTAAAACGCTCCTCTCCGACTTTGACCAAAGAAACAAAGAATATAGCCCCAGCGTGCTCAGGAGACCATCTATTTTTAATCAGTTGACTTTTCATGCACTTCCGAAGATACAACACTATTTTAAACTGGGTAATAGTCCTTGTTTTATTAAAAAAAAAAAAAGTGCCTCATTGCAGTTGTGTGATACATAAGTCAGACACCCTAACTTTATCTAACTGCCGCCTCGCATCAGACCTGATTCTGCCTTTAAAGTGGTCATTTATCAGTTAAAAGGCGAGTGTGTTTTAAAAAGTATGTCTTTAGGAAGGAGAGCAATCTCCCTTTTCAGAGGGAAGAAACCTGTTACAAAGCCATTTAGGTGGGTGCGCTCTGAAATGGCATTATTCCCCCCCGGGCGTTAATACTTCCCCAATATGTTTCTATTTGCACGGCTCCCCGACAATTCGGCATTTTATTTAACCGTAACTGCCCTTAGAATCTTGACTTGGACTGAGGTAGCCTGCTAATCTTACTTTTTTTCCCCTCTTTCACAGAGGCATCTGTTCCTCTTGCTGACAAATGTACCATTCTGCCAAGAAAGTTTCTGACAAAAAAAAAAAAAGGCAAAAAGAAAAAAAAAAAGCGTGTAATTGATGTTATCCCAAGAAAGCGCGATCTCCACCCCTCTCAGCTCCAAGCCCTTCAGGTAAAAGGAAAAAAAAAATCTTTCAAGAATTTGTTGCCTTTTTGAGGGTTAAAACATCAGAAGACAAGCTTGTCTCGCCTTGGCCAATCAGCTCTCGGCCCTGGCAGCTATAATATAGAACTAAAGGCAGACTCCTCTCACAAGCGTCTTGCTTTGCTACCATTAAAATCAGACCCTTTTTTTGTCTCTCGATTGCTGTCTCACGACCAAACTCCGATGTGTTCCGTTATCAGCGACCTAAAGCCTGCCATTCCAGCACCTGTCTTGCTAGGGATCGGTGGATAGTATACGATTCAGAAAGCAGACAAGGACATAGGAGGAGAGAGAGCTCTAGAGACAGCCAGGGATAGGCACAGAGAGCTTTGAAGTAATTGGATTCAATGGACGAAATGCTGCTGTTGACAAGAATTCTCTTGGTGGGCTTCATCTGCGCTCTTTTAGTCTCCTCTGGGCTGACTTGTGGACCAGGCAGGGGCATTGGAAAAAGGAGACACCCCAAAAAGCTGACCCCTTTAGCCTATAAGCAGTTTATTCCCAATGTGGCAGAGAAGACCCTAGGGGCCAGTGGAAGATATGAAGGGAAGATCACAAGAAACTCCGAGAGATTTAAAGAACTAACCCCAAATTACAACCCTGACATTATTTTTAAGGATGAAGAGAACACGGGAGCTGACAGACTGATGACTCAGGTAGAGCCACAGAGATACCTGTATTTGTGTTTGTTAACCTCTCTGAGCAATCCTAAAGGACGCATCTGTCTTAGTATTTTTGAAAGCCCCCCCTTTCCCTCTCCCCCTCCTCCCCCCGCCCCTCCAAACTCGGCTAGTTTCCCCCATTGAATGTTAATACCATCTATCCAGACAAGTTAGCAGGGGCTGGAGCTGGAGCTATTTAGATATTTGGTGGGGGAATCTGTGTGGTACTTACAGTCATTACCGTGCCATGGCGTTCCCTGTAACTTGGTTAGAGATTGCTGTTTGCATTTGTCCCCAAGGATGCACTTTGATCAAACGAATTGCATACAGCTCAGAGGACCCCAACTGTATAGTGACCGCCGGGCCACCCACTCATTATTACAAACGTAGTCCGTGGTTGCTGCGCCTGCTGACTTGATTTATATATATATATATTTTATTTAATTTCTCTCTTTTTTTCTTCATTTCACTTTAACCTTCAGTATTATTATTATTATTATTATTATTTCTCTCGCGAGCATATTCTAAATTTAGTAGGCATGCAGTCGTGCACTCACAAAAGGCAGCTGAAGCCGGATCGACCATTCCTCTCCTGATTCAGTATTATATAGCTCGTATTGCAATACCATCATTTGCAATTGTGCCCATCAGAGCGTAAATATATTGATATTTCTTTAAGGATGCTCGCCACCAATGCTCTGGTACTTCCATAGGGGAGGGACTTGCAACTTATCGGCATTGCATCACCTTCTGTTTTAAAAAATCTGATGGCACAAGGTTTACAACTGGGTAAATATTGGATCTCGGGTGGAATCGGATTGCGGAACCATATTATGAAAAAGAAAAAAAAAAGAGAAAAAAGAGAAAGGAGAGGGAAAGAGAAAGAGAGAGAACCGCTCCGAGAGTCACCTCATAATTATTATTCATGCTCAACAGAGAGCTCGGTGAAGTCAAGTGCTCTGCCAATTCCGGAGTTTCAGAAACTACATGCAATCTAGACACTGGAAATGGGTTTCCTCCAAATATAGGTCAACAGCGCTTTTTTAATATTAATACATTTAAGCCCCACCTTCAGTGCTAGAGCAGGACTCGCCTGGAAGGACTAGGCGGGGAGTGGACGCGGGGAAAGGGGGTGGGGGGGTGGGGGTGGAATTTCCCAAACTCTCCCCGTTCCTCGGCCTGATTTTCCGCACGTTGTCGGGTCTCCCGAGGCGAGGGACCGGCGGCCGCCACCATCTCCTCCCGACCACCTTAAATCGCACCGCACCTCGGAGCGCGGCGGCGCCTCCGCCCGCCCTCGGCCGCCGCCCCGCGCAGGGTGCGGAGCGCAGCGGGGCCGGGGCCGGTCCCCGCTCGGGCGCGGCCCGCGCCCCTCCGCGCACCCGCGGCTCCTCCGCCCCCGCTGCCTCCGGAGCCGAATCTCTCGCATTTTCAGCTCCACTTACTCCCCTCGCGTATTGATCGCGGCGGCTCGGGTTTCACCCTTCCCTCCGCAGCCCGGCGGCAGCGGCAGCGGCGGCTCCGCGGGAGACGGGGCTCCCGCCGGGGCTCGGTGCATCCCTCCCTCCTTCCCTCCCTCCCTTCCCTGCGCGGCTGCGCCGGTGCGTGTGCGCGGCGGAGCGGGGCGGCGGGCGCGGGGGGAGCCGGGGAGCGCGGTCGGGAGCGATGGGCTGCGGGCCGGGGGCGGGCTGCGGGGCTGACCCCGGCCCCGCGGCTCTCCCGGGGCACGCCGCGCCGGCTACGCGGCTGGCCGCTCCCGCTGCATTAGCTGGCAGCGGCTGAACTCCTGACCTTCTGTCAACTTCCCTCAGACGAACGAAACGAAAACAAATACTTTTTTTTTCTGCACCCCCCCCCACCTTCTCCTTCAGTGCTTGTTGCCGTGCCTTAGACACAATGGGGGGGAGGTGGGCTGAGAGCAGCGGGGACGAGGAGGCAGCAGCACCGGGTACCCGGCGGCAAAGAGAGGAGTGAGATGGGGGAGCGAGACTGGGGAGAGAGCAGGGAGAGAGCGGGGCTACGGCACCCCTCGGCCAGGCAGGGAGAGGGGAATGGAGCGGGGTTGGGGAGCGGGCGGAGGGGTTGCCCTTGCCCACAGCTCCCTGGGCACGGCCGGGCCCCCGGCGACCCGAGGTGCCGTCCTGCCGCCGGTTTCCCTGCCTTGCTTTCCTCTCCTTCTCTCTCTCCCTCAGCCAGCAACCTCTCGTTAAATCCCAGCCCTCAAACGCCGGCTTCGGGAGCCCTTCAACCATGAAGAGATTTTTCCTGAACAGAATCGTTAAACTTGCAGAGTGGTTGCCGAATGCATTAGCCGCTAGTTAATATTAACTCCAGAAGGGGGGGGGGCGAACGCAAACAGAGGTAGGTAAGTCAGGTTCTCAACTTTGCAGGTGACACCAGCAGTTTGCTAAGGGCTCCCCCTTCCTCCCCTCCCTCCCCCCCCACCCCAGCCATTGGCTGGATTCGGGGGAGAGATAAGGAGGCCAGGTCAGTATGATAAAGCTGGAATTTGTATGAAAAAAATAGCAATCTCGTGTAATGCAGGCACACAACCGGTGCGTGATGTGAGGAATTTAGAGATCAACTTGGCATTTAGGAAGCCCACCAGGTTGTTTACACTGACAGGTACCTGTTAAGTATTTCCTTCAAGCAATTCATTTGTGAAGAGATTAGGAGCTGGCAGGAGAGGGCTTGTTGAACAACTTTGCCTCCACACAAAGCGTTAGTGGAGGCAGCCCTGCTGAGCTTCACGGTGGCTGAACAGAATTGGGCTTGATTTGTGGCACACGACCCAATGAATTAATAAATAGTCTGGGCTTCACGGCTTTTGACTCTGACAATCCAGCTCAGGCAGTATAAAAGGGAAGAAAGTCCTTTAGGAGGCCGTTTCTTCTTTATTTCCCCTGAAGCCGGGAACTGGTGCTGGCAGGGCCGGAGCGGCAAGAGTCCCTCGGCGCTGCCCTCACCACTGCCCGCATCCCTGTCCTGCCCCTCCGCTCCCGCTGCCTCCCGTGCGGCGCAAGACATCGCCGTGTCGCGCAGTGCTGTCGCCTTATCAGTAACTGAAACGTTTGATCCTTCGCCCCCTTCCCGCTGTAAATAAATGGAAGAGCGTATCCATCCTCTCAGGTGTGAGAGGAAGAGAAGGAAAAAATAAAATAAATCAAACTCAACTTGTGCCGCTGCACTTTGCTGCCGGGAACAGTGCTGAAACCCAAACACCCGTCTCTCTACATACAACGGTAGGCCAGAGAGTCCAAAGTGAGCTCACGGTTGTGTTTTATATTTCTCGGGTACCTGTGTGTCGCTGGTATCACTTTTATGTCTGTTAATAGACACAAGGGAACTTTCTTGCTGAGCAACTTTGTCACGTCCCGAAAAGTAGCGTCGTCGGGGTAATGGAGAGGCTTTGCCTTTCTGGGAGCTGTGAAGGGGGACTTTGTGGTCTGTTATTAGGTGTGCTGTGAGCACACTGGGGAGAAGGGTCCTGCAGGAGGCCAAGAATCCCAGTCAGGCCAGCTAAAGTGTGGGAAGAGCAGCTTACTGCATCCCGCTTGGCTTTCATCCATCGCATCAAACGAACCTCATCGGGTATATCCACGAGTTGTTTTCCTCTCAAAATTGGGGAAGAAGGCTGGCAACGTGCGTGTTTCTAACTCTGTACCTTTAGTCAAGCGCTTTTCAATGCTTTTGGTGCTGATTTCCTCTTTTGGAGGGCTGAGAGCCCTTTCTCCTATCGCGCTGTGTCTATTCTCCCCCCCTTGTCTAAGATAGGAATCCCCCCAAAACTTTCAGGGCTTCATTTACAGCTCACCTCCTTCCAAGTGCTGCAGGCCCCTTTCCCCTCCCTCTCCCCATCCTGCCCCCCCTCATTACTCGGTCCCTGAGGGACCCCGGTGCTGCGGGGCCCAGTTCAGCCCGGGGAAGATCGGTGGCTCCGGAGGGGCGATGAAAAACCCTGCAGTGCTTCTCCACGGAGTTGGAAGCATTTCACTCCACACAAAGAGGCTCCTAGCTTGCATAGCATCCCTGCTTCGCTCAACTTCCCTCCTTGGCCCTCCCTTGCTTTTCATCTTCCCACTAAGAGCTATATTATTGTATGGATTTGCTCGGCTTTGTAGGCGAGCGCCGACGTATGTTTGAAGCGGAGTGAATGCTCCCAGCCTATGCAGCTTTGAGGGCTCTAATGAGTGATGGGCGAAGGGAGAGAAAAAAAAACAAAACACCCCTCCCTCCAGCACATAAAGGCTGTTAACATGTATTGATGCCCTTTTCAACACAGAATTAAGCTGAAAAGACTCGGAGAGACATTCCGGGGGGGAATCCGTGACTCCGAGATATATGGCGAGTGTTTGTTCTCGGCAGAAACTTTGCTCTCGGGAAGGGACAGGGCACTTAGCGGCAGGAATTTGCTCCGTGCAGGTGGCTTTGAACCGCCACACTCGCACCCCAGCGCCAGTGGTGCGGCCGGGGGGGTTTCCCCTGTCCCCGCAGCAGGTGCCAGGGGAGGGGGCGGCTCTGTCCCTGTGGGTTTTCGTAGTTTTTCATCCTCTGTTCCTCCCGTGTCCCCATGTTTCACTCTCCTCCTCACCTGCTTCCCCATCCCTCCCTGGCAACGGGGGAGAAGATGCTCAGCTCTGGCTGAGCCCATTCTGCGGCGCGTTTTGGGGGGAAGGGAGGGCTGCCGCCTATTTGGCTGGGGAGGGAGGGTAGGATGCGGCCCAAGGGGGTATAGATAACGAAGTGGGGATCTGCCCCTGGCTACAGCATCCCCATAATGACCTTTCCCTGTCTATCCGTATCCCGCAGCGCTGCAAGGACAAGCTGAACGCCCTGGCGATCTCGGTGATGAACCAGTGGCCCGGGGTAAAGCTGCGGGTTACTGAGGGCTGGGATGAGGACGGCCACCACTCCGAGGAGTCCTTGCACTACGAGGGCCGCGCCGTGGACATCACCACCTCAGATCGGGACCGCAGCAAGTACGGCATGCTGGCCCGCCTGGCCGTCGAGGCCGGCTTCGACTGGGTCTACTACGAGTCCAAGGCACACATCCACTGCTCCGTCAAAGCAGGTAAGGCAGGCAGCCTGCCAGGGACACGTCGGGATGAGGGGACACCCGCGGGCCACGACTCAGCCCCCCAGAGCCTTCTCTGCCCTGGCCGGTGTCGCCCGAGCTCCCTCTTCCTGTCTCCCGAAGGGTCCCCATCACCCGGCTCTCCCCGCCGGGGGTCCCGCGGGGATGGGAGCGGAGCCCCACCGGCGCAGGGGTGGGAGTAAGGAACGAGTGAGGGCGGAAAGAAAAAAGGAAAGCCCAGCTACTGCAGCACTTTTACACAGAATTTTTATTTGGGTGATGTTTCTTCCCAGCCTTCTCACGAGCGCTGCGCCGCAGCCACACACCCTTCTCCTCCCCCCGTGGGATCTGATGCTTTCCCCATCCAAAGAGCATGTTCAACACAAACACTCGTGGCCGTCTCCAGCCGCCCCGCTGGCTGCACGCCTTACTCGCGAGCGCTAATCTCCGAGTGGGAGCCGGCCAAGAAAATAAACAAGTAACGTGGTCCCCAGCCTCCTTCAGCGGTAGCCGCTAGGAAATTCCCAGATAGGGATACACATACACACAATTTTTTTCCCTCCCCTCCCCTGTGCTTACAACGCCACACGCTGTCTCAACCCGGGAACAGCTCGCAAGAAATCCTCGACTCGCAGAGTTCCTTTTTCTGACACTTAACACTTTTTTGGGGAACAAATCGGTTGGCAAGTGCCAGCCCCCTGCCCTCCCGCCTCCCTCCACCCATTTAGATGCCTTTGGATGGCATCTAAAGAGCTTTTAAAGAGCATCCTCTAGCCCAGCAGCCTGCTGGATGTGTCAAGAAACACTTGGTTGCAAAAGAAAATAATGGGCTTTCTTTAAATATAGCCGTTTGTTTCGAACCCAGCAGCCCCAGGGCAGGGAAACCAGTCTGCTCATCTGCAGGACGGGTTCGTTCCCCCACTCCAACCCGAAGATACCCAGGGGCTGAGCCGAGGTAGCACTTCTCCCGGCCCGTGGGGGCTTTGTCCTGAGAGCCTGCTACTGCTTTTGTTCAGCTCCTGGGTCCTCTCTAGCCAGAAGGAGGCCCTGCAGAACTGTCAGCTGTGTGGAGATATGAAACATCCCTTTCAACAGCCAAGATGGGCTTTACAGCACAAGGTGTCTGATTGTGGTGTGTGGTGACCTTAGCCCAAGCACATCCCCTAATCCACCCCCGTGGGCATTTCATAGGAGAGGAGTAACCCCAAGCTGCTCATTGAGATTCGGCACACACGGACTTGGGGGCAATATTTAGAGGGTGTCACGCAGGGTCGTGTGACTGTACGAGGCAGGCTGAAGGGAGCAGGCTTGAATTCCACCCTCTCAGCCTGATCTTAAACTGTCCAAACCTCATTTCATGACAGAGCATCTCATGAGAAGATTAAACCCGATAATGCCAGGCAGGAAGATTCTTTATCTAGATCTCTGTTTGCAAAAAGTATGATCCCGGAGACTGGAATGCAAAGAAGAGTTCCCCCAAGGCCTGAATTATTGTCACCAGAACAGAGGAGGGAGAGGCAGGGGTGGTAAAAGGGACATTGATAATGCGCTACAGCAAGTATTTAGAGCAAGCTTCTACATTTAAAATTCAAATACAGATCTTGAGTGCCTTGGAAAAGTGGCTCTGCTGTGCAAATAGTGCTTGGAAGGTCCTGGGTTTTTTGGAGAGTATGTGTGTGAATTGGCACATAGGGTTTCTGCACCTGAACAAATAGGGAGGGGGAGAAAAGGGGGGGAAGAAGCTGGGAAAAAAATGGAAGTGTCCTCTCTTCCAAGAGTGTCTGCATTTATTACATGAATCAGAATGACAATGCTGATCCTTTATTGGATTTTAATTAGAGAACCCAAACAAGCACTGCTCAAAGAAGCAGATTTTCACACCTCTGCCAATTCACTGGCGTGTTTGTAGAGCTGCTACACTACTAGATCTATTCATCAAGTCCCTGAATATGCAAACAAAGCTCTGGCCAGACCTTTACTGCCGGCTTGTAGGAAGGTGTAGTTTGCTAGCAGAGGCCTCTACATAAAGCACATAGCTTGTTTGTTGCCATGTCCTCCCTGAAGAGGGAGGCCTTGGAGATCTAACTGCTTCATTTCTGAAGGAGAAGTGATAAAGTCATTAGCAAATCAATAACGGTCTAATTTTCACCCTTCCTGTCCTTCCTGAGAAAGTCATTAGGAGACATTCCAAGGATTTATTTAAATCATAAGAGTTTCAGTAACAGCCGCAGAGGCAAAATATAAAACCTGTCCACCTTTGGGAGATAAATCACCAGGTCTCTTAACTGCTGTAGGGATTAACTGGGAGAAACCAGGGAAAGGCAAGGGAGGGATGGACAATGTCAACAGCTGTAGCAAAGACACTTGCTACTGTGGCATAGCACGGGCTACTACCCCATCTTTAGAAAACCAGACCTTTTAGGGGCACTGCAGAGTCCCTCTGTTAAGACAGAGACCAGCCTGGAACACGGCAGAGTTTCTCTCCCACCATCCCACAGGTGCCTGTGCTTCCAGAAAGGGAAGCAAGACAGACTTAGAGTTTCATTGCTACTTCTGCTTTCTTTAAATCTGAGATTCCTTTCAGTAGCACTGGAAAACAGCTACAGTTGATGACAGCATAGAGTATCTAAACTCTGAGTAACTCCCAAGAGCTGGAGGAGGTGAAGGAGCTTGAGCCTGGCACAGATGTGGAGCTACTCGGGGACCCCAAGCTCTGGGACAGGGAACAGCATCCTTCTTCTACTGGGGTGGGAGAGGCTTTTTTTTGGAAAGAGGAGTGAACCAGAGTGCAGGAGATGCCAAACAGGGGTGATATGAGGGTGACATGCACCAGTAGCCACCATGCCAAGCAAGAGACCAGAGAGGGCTGGAGACAACACGGGGGCATGTACAGGGTGATGGAGGAGGACTCGTGAAACTCTGACTGTTGCTTTCCGGTGGGGCAATGGGCAAATCCATGTGCACCTTGGAGCAAAGTCTCCTCCTGCTCCCTGCTGTTTTCTTCCTAAATGACCTCCCTGAGTAAGAGCTCAGTGGAGACCCTGAGCACTGAAAGCACAGACACTTGCTTAGAGGAGAAACCTTAAGCCAGCAAAAGCACTCGGCTTTGAAAGATTGCGAGTTATCTGGCATCAGATGTCAGTGTAGGGTAAATTGTAGCCAAATGGGAAGTTCTTCCAGAGGAGATTTGTTCTGGAAGATTTTTCTTGCTGGAAATATTTTGGCCCATTTCCTTAATGAGGAAACTAACTCCTAACCCAGAGGGAGATGCACTGGCTCAAATCTGTCAGGAAGAGGTTTCTCACTTGACCCACTGAGAGCAAATGGGGCATGTTCATAGATGAGGATGGAGGAATGTGTCAGAGGGAAGTCTGGCTGCGTCCTGCACCTGTTCTTCTTGGGTGGGTCAGGGTGGCTTGGGAAGCAGCGTGTCCCCTCATACCCCCATGCTCCAGCTGAGCTTGTGCCTCCTCTAACCCTGCTGTGCCTCTCTCCTTGCACAGAAAACTCGGTGGCAGCCAAATCTGGGGGCTGCTTCCCCGGCTCGGCCACGGTGCACCTGGAGCAAGGCGGTACCAAGCTGGTGAAGGACCTGAGACCCGGAGACAGGGTGCTGGTGGCCGACACCGAAGGCCGCCTGCTCTACAGCGACTTCCTCACCTTCCTCGACCGGGAGGATGGCTCCCACAAGCTCTTCTACGTCATCGAGACGCGGCAGCCCCGGGCCCGGTTGCTGCTGACGGCCGCCCACCTCCTCTTCGTGGCCCCCCAACACAACCAGTCGCAGGCGGAGACCCCCAGCAGCCGGGCGCTCTTCGCCAGCCGCGTGCGGCCGGGCCAGCGGGTCTTCGTGCTGGGCGAGGGCGGGCGGCAGCTCCTGCCCGCGGCCGTGCACAGCGTGTCGCTGCGGGAGGAGGCGTCGGGGGCCTACGCCCCGCTCACCGCCCAGGGCACCATCCTCATCAACCGCATGCTGGCCTCCTGCTACGCCGTTGTGGAGGAGCACAGCTGGGCACACTGGGCCTTCGCCCCCTTCCGCCTGCTCCAGGGGATGCTGGCCACCCTCTGCCCCTCCGGAGGGGGGTCCCCGATGGGTGACCCCACGGCCCCCGGCATCCACTGGTACTCTCGGCTCCTCTACCGCATCGGCAGCTGGGTGCTGGATAGTGACTCTCTGCACCCGCTGGGCATGGTGGTGTCGTCCAGCTGAGAGCATCCCGCGCCACCCTGGCCACCTGCCGGCCTCCGAGGGAGAGACAGAGACACGGAGAGACAGAGAGAGACAGAGTGAGAGACAGAGAGAGAGAGAAAGGAGACTAAAAAAGAGAAAGAAAAAAAAAAGAGAAAAGAAAAACCCAAAAGAAAAAAGAAAAAAAAAAGAAAAAAATACCTATTTTTAAAAGAGAGCACGGATTAAGACTTAAAAATAATAATAATAATAAAATAATAATAATTAAGTAGGACAGTCCAAAGTAGACTTTAAGGGAAACAAAGACCCCGGGAAGTTCTGTTCTGTTTAGTTTATAAATATATATATATTTTTATTTGTTCTTTTGTTTTGTTTGTTGGTTGTTGTTTTTTTTTTTTCCTCCTCTCCTGGATATTTATTTCTTTGGTATTTTGAATAGATGTTTTAAATGATATGAACCGGACCTTCAAGAGCCTTAAATAGTTTCTTTGATAATTTATTATCATGTGAACTGTACTCACACGGGAAAAAATTATTTTGTGAGGCCAAGCAAAACTGCGCAGAGTCTATTTTTCTACATGTCACGTGTGTCCTGACTTTCAGAAAGCAAAATTCTGTACTTTCCCATCTCTCCATTACATTGCTCCGTCATTTCAGCAAGTCTAAAAAACAAGCAAACAAACAGACACACACAAAAAAGACAAACTTCATGGGGGTCCGTAAATTATATTTTTATACACAGAATTGTAAATTAGATTTTTTTGAGAGATCAATACTTAACTGAATCACATTTCGTTTTTTGAAATAGTGTAAAATATGAGAATATATTATTTTAATTTAAATAGTTTCAAATGTAACATCATTTCCTGTATTGTTTTCCATGTTTTGCTTTGTAAAAACACCATTTGGCCACGTCCATGGAAGTCAAGACTGTTACACAAACTTTTTATTTGCAAAAACCGTAAGAAACTTTGTTATTTTTAACTTCAAAAAAAAGTTTATTAGAAAATAATATTTTTTAAAAAACGCACATGGCGGCAATTCTGTGACGATGGAGATGGTAGTTTGTACAGAGGGGAGAAAAGGATGTTTTGCATTAATAAATTGAGAAATAACTGCTGTAAATTTACTAAAATGTATTTTTGAATATTTTGTAATAGTTTTAATAGTTTTATAGAAATAAAATGTGCCATGCACAGTCTGGTTAGTATATAATAACTAAGAGTTCCTGGTGCATCCCATCTTTTTTTTTTTCCTTTTTGCTTATTAGTTTAGGAAACATGATGCCAAAAGGAGTGCCCGTTATTTTATTTAGATGTGTTACTTATGACATTTAATTTTGGTACTTTAATTATCAAAAAGAATCCATCACATTTGAGCATAACCTGGAATCTCTTGTACTGACAGTAGAACCTCACTTATTTGCACGAGCGACCGGGAGACGCGGTTTCCCTTTGCCGGAGCCCTGGCTCCCCATCCGCACTCAGGCGATGCTTCCCTCTTTCAGCTCCAGCCCCAGCTCCGTGTCCACTTCCTGGCCTGGTCTGGACACTGCAGACAGCTCTTAAAATTGATTTCTGAGGATATTAAATCAAGTTTTCCCTTTGAAGTGTGTAAATGTAAAGGCAGGCAACTGCCTTCATCTTGTGGCAGCACCGGGATTTTAATTGGCTTTAATTTCAGTGCCAGAAGATGGAAATCTGAGGGAGATACACTGACTTTGGTGAGTTAGCAGGGATTCATGTGGCAGATGCTGGAAGAAGGAGATGGCCACCAGATTTCACTGGCCACTTTGAGTAACAACACAGGGCTTGGGGCCACCGAGAGCAGAGCAAAACACCATTTTTGCAAAACAAAGAAAAGGATAAAGATTTGTTCATTTATGCTGAGAGACATTCCTTAGCTGTAATGCAGGAGTCTGTCCTGAGCCACCGATGTGTGAACGCACTGGAGATGTGTTTTAGGAGCTGGGTGGTGTGGCCAGCACTGCATCCCTTGCCTGGTCCCAGCCCCAACCCCCGCCAAGGGGATCATCCTTGACAGGTGCCGATCAGTGAGGTTCTGCTGCACCACGTGCTCCTCCACGGGTGGTTTCCAGGAACCCTTTGAAAATTTTGCAAAACACTGTGTGTGCATGTGTGTGCGCGTCTGTGACAGGACTGTGCCGGAAGGGAGCTTTCCTTGAATGTCTTCTCACCTTTCCTTTGGTTTCCATTACTCACCGATCTAGGACGTTCATCCATCGGGCAGCCTTTTGCTCCAGAGACACAGCCATGTTCCCTGCTGGGATGGACGGCAGCTCCAGGGCCTCCCAGAATGTCCCTACCTGTGGCCATCTCCAGAGGGTGTAGACCATGCTGAAATCCTAGGAGTTTCTGGAGTGCTGTCAGGAGCTGGTGGCTGAGCCCCATGCATGAGCACTGCTGTGTCGAGCCCTTACAGACGGATGTGGTCTCTCCTTCCTGTCAACCTCTAGTCCAGGACCACTTCCAACCTCCACAGCTCGGACATGGCTGGGGTGATGAGACTTCGGTGTGACCACCAGCATGCTGCAGCACCAGGACAGGAACCAAGCCACCCTAATGCCCTCCTGATGTGGGGCATCGTGGGGGACTGTGGACTGCCTGGTGGGTGCTGGGGACCTGCTGCCCACCCCAGCTCGGACTCTGCCACCTCCATGTCTTTGGGGTCTGCTGATGTGTTGAGGGCTGACAATGCAGCTGGTTTGGGGCATGTGAGAATGTGATTGTGGAACAAATGAGTCCCTGCTCTAAGAGCCGGGTCTTTGCATGTATGGCAGTGTCTGGGCATCTGAGCTCTCTTGTCCCTGTCTCTGAGTGGCAGATGACATTTTTTAAGGCCTTTACACTCAGAAAAATGAGCGCGTTGGAATGTGCCTTCTCCAGAGGTCGGGCAGTGGAGGTGTTTAGGGATGTCAGCGATCAAACTTAAAGCCATTGGCTTGGGGGCTTCAGTCTGAGTCGTAACTGAGATGTGAATGAGCCATCAGAACAGAGCCCATGCTTGTGTCAGTGTAGGGTATGTGTCTGGTAGGGATCATATCAGACATTGCTGCATTTGATCTTCACCAAAAGGCCAAGATGAGCTCAGAGCTTTGTGGTGGGAGAGAAGCTAAGATGCTGCCTTACACTAGGATCAACCTGTTTGGCCAAGCAGAGAAGTGCTGTGCCATGTTCTCCACTGCACATATTCCAAGTGGCTTTCTGCCTTCCTCTCACCATGTGTGTATTCCATCTCTTCCTCCGACGCCTCTCATCTGGATCACCCCTCCGTGGTGTGCATTAGAAGTGCTTCCTTAGATGGGCCAACCCAAACTGTAGCTACAGCTCTCGTATGAAGGATGTACTGTCAAAACATTGTGCAAAACGTCTTGGAGATGTCACTGTCCATTTTCAGGGTCTGAGTATGGCAATAGTTTGTATAAAATGTACACATAGTGGTGGCTACAGAATAGTTTATGACTAAATACATATCTATTACTGTTAAAATAATGTATAAGAATGTACTTGAAGCTATTATCCTTGTGCTCTGTTGTCTGAATAATTAAAGAAATTACAGAGACTTCCTGAAATGTCTGATATGTGACAGCATTCCTACTGCACAATCTCAGCTCTGTGGTTTTTACCCTGATGACATTGAAACGGGGAGGGGGAATCCTGTGGGATTTGGCATGGGACTCTTCAAACACGTGAGGAATTGTCTGTGTCGCTTCACATGATGGTCACAACCTCCCTCTTCTCCTACCTAGAGCCACGTAGACAGTCTGTCGTTTACCTGTGAAATACTGCGGGGCTCTGCAAAGCCAACTCATTTGGAAGGGGTTTGTGGGGCACCAGCAGGTGCCTCCCCCACCCAAGCCAACGTGAGAAGTGACTCTAATGAGACAGGGACTAGCTGGTGTTTACCTGTCTGGTCTTTCAATGCCCCGGTGCTCAGACACCAGGTAAACACGCCAAGGAGAAGCTTGGATGCGCCAGCAAAAGAGGATCACATCCATGGTGCAATTAAAATCCAAGCACAAGCACTGGGGTAAAGCAGGTCTTTCACAGGCAGGGAGCTGTTCCATGCCACAGCCAGCAGCTCTTTGTGCCCTCACATGTGAAAGTTTGCTTAGCTGTATCTTTATATATATATATGCACATGTATGTATACATATATAATATTATTATCCTTATATTAAGAGCTCAGCATACCCTACCAGGCTATAAATATGTTTATACTGGCCCTCCCAAGCATTTCACACCACACCAAGGCTGAGCAGGCAATGTAAATCCACCCAGTTGGGCGATAATTGGGCAGCAGTTTTGCAGCCCCAGTACAGCATCTATTTCAATTACAGGGGGAAGGAGACCAGGAGGAGCATTTTATTTTACTCATTACTGCAAGCCATAAGGGACCACTAGCTTTCTTAAGCTTTTGAAATTCTTTCTTCAGCGGTTTCTGCCTTAAAACCAGTGCAAATTTAACTGAAAAAAAGGTCAGTTTTCCGTGTACTGAACACTTTGGAGCTTTCAAAGTAACAGAGTTAATGTGATCCTTGGACTGAGCAGGCTGGAAGGGAAAAAATAATCTTTAAAAAATGCATCTTTACAAGCATTGGGATTGTCTCAGATTTGATGGGAGCAGGATGAGCCTCGCAGCCACTGTTTGTGCCAAGATTGTTAAATATAATTTTTAATACTTTGCATTTGGGGTGTTTAGGTTTGCGTATTTAAATAATTTTGGTTTTCAGGGCTGAAAAGAAGCTAGCAAATCCAGGAAATATGAGTTTAATGATCTTGTCCTGGTTCCAGTAAAATCAAGAGTGGCATCCAGAGCTGATCTGAGTGCAGAGGCAGTTGTGCTGCTACCTTAAAGCAGAGTGCAGGACCCTAAATAACTTCTTTTCCTTTCATTTTTAAGTGAGAGCAAGCCAGTTCTTCGCACAAATACTGCTGCAAATCAGGAGTGAAACCACAAGGTCAAGAAGTCTGTTTGGGGTAAAAGTATTTGTTTCCATGTCCTGTGATCTAAATGTGAAATAAATGTTAGATTTGCTCAGTTTGGTGTAAACAAATGTCCATTCACATTACTGGGGACGAGAGGTGACAAGGGATGCTCT